TATGTTCTTAGGTTGAGCAAAAAATATTGTATTCGACATCATTTCTCAAGGAGATTTTACCAATGTATAAATGTTTTATTGTTTTAATTAGAAACCAACTGAAAAATATGTAGGTAATAGCCGCTTTCATAGATGGCGTTGTAATTAAAATCGTGTCGAATCAGTTTTACTCGATCGTCACAACTTCGTTCCTATCGGGTGTAACACGACACCACACGGCTTTTTTCTTTAAAATATAGGTTTTTTGGGATGAAATAGATACTAAAGTATATAATTAACCAAGTTTTCAAGTTGAGTCAACTAGCCTTATTTAATGAATAATACATTATACGTTACATTATTTTAAAAAATCGAATACGCAAGGAACCTTTGTCATAGAATACCGTTTAAATTATGAGTATTTAACATAGATAATTTGTTAATGTAGTTAATGTTACATAGTAAGAAAAAAGAGCGACTTATTATTATTATACTTTTGGTACTTACAACTAACACTTTTTAGTTAAGCTGTTTCTTATAACATTAAATCTAATACCTTAATTGTCGGTTATTAATTAGCAATTTTCGATGAATGAAAGATATATGGTGTGGTAATGTTTTTGCTGAATGGTACTTGATCTGTATCTACGTGAGAAAGCTGGCAGGATTCTGTTCATTACGATAGTGAGAAAGTTTACTTGTTTACTGTACACATTGAGAGTTCTTATTTGTTCTATCTCTGATTCTACGATGTAGGTCAATTAAAGTTTTAACTTTCTTGGTAAATTAGCAGATATTGCAACTCGTTAGGTTACAATTTACTCTTAATGTATATGCAATTATCATCTTTCTAATTTATTTACATTATGTGTATATATAGGTATATTATATATAGGTACATAGGTATATACCTAAGTACCTGGGAGACCTATTTCTTACCGTGCCATGGATTCACCGTGCGGATACAACGTCAATTGCGTGATAGATGGGGCAACACATGCGACTTCGACTTCGACGACTGGGACTTGTGACCCAGATATAGCTTTAGGGAGTACTGAGTACGAGTTTTGTGAAGTCTATTTTGTTGAGCTTTCCTGTAAAAACGCGATGTTAGTTCTTATGTTTGTTATTATTCCTTTTTTCGCTCTCGCCAGTGATAAAATTATAGCTTCACGTATGATTTGTTATACCCTATCATGGCGACGTGAATAATGAACCCGGTCTGTCAGTAAGTGCATGGCTATCCCTATTTTCGCACTGCACATCGTACAAGCCTTTTCTGTAACTTTTGCCTACCCTACTTGGTTACTATGATCGGGAAGAGTTAATTAAAAGGCATTGAGGTAAACTTTTAACAGGTCAGGTGAAAATTCGTATAAAAGTGTGCGCCATTTCAAAGTTGGTGGGATACAAAATTCTCCTATAGTTAACCATTCATTCTGTATTTCTAGGTTCATTACGTGCAGTAGTTCTTGGCACTGCTTCGGGTCACCTGTGAGTATCGCAAGGTCGTCTGCGAATGCTAAGATGGATTCCGTGTATTTTGCTATTGACCTTAAACCGGTAGACCAACCTCTTTTAGTGTGTTCTGATATTTTCTATTAATAAATAACTGTATTAAATACTACTGTTGATAAGAAGCAACCTTGGAACAACCCTACTCTGTATTCGAGGGGTTTTGTATGTGCCTCTTTTGCTGTGATTACAAATTTTAATTTACTGTAGTATGATGCAATTACTTCACAAACCATTGGCGAAATGTTATATCATTTCAAGGCAAATAATATGAGCTCGTACTGAGCCAAAGGCATTTTCTAAATCTATCCAACAGACGGTAATTTGCCTTTCATTTTTCCTAGCATCTTTGAGACTTTCCGCAAGTAATGAGTTATGTTCCAGAGTTCCGAGCCTAAATCCTTTCTGGTAATTTGGTCTGAAGTAATTATTGTTGGATATAAACTGTATTATTTTAAATTGAAGACAGGTGAAAAATTTACCACGAACAAGATTTCGAATTTTCTCTGCTACATTGAACCCTCTTTCTATGTATGGCCGATTAGCATAAGAACGAATTTTTAAAAGGCTTTTAGCGTTCTTAGTATTGTAGATAAAGTATGTTGTGGTGTTGTTAAGTGTGGATTTGCGTGTAATATATTCACAAAATACGTTATTTAATAGTTTATGATTAGGATTAACAACTATATCAATGGATAGATGAACATACATTAAAAACATTCAAAGATATAAAGCATTTCGTGTATTAATGTGGTTTTTCTATAAATGATAAAAATATCGATAACGCTTTTATTGCAAAGGTAAAGAAAACAGTTAAAAGAAAGTCTAAAAGTTCAAAATTGAGATAGATTAAATAAAAATAGTGTGCCTCAAACATAGTATTGCAAGAGAAACATAAATATTATGTTAGAAAATTATCTTCACATGCGAGTATTATCAAATGCTTCGTGTAAACTAATCGCTTGGAAAAATTCCGACTCCCCGAATTGTATAAACACATTTATCATTAAACATACATAATATATGTATGTGTAAGAAAATAGCGATCGCGGGAAGCCGTTGGATGCGGGCAGCATAGGGCCGGTTGTTGTGGCGAATCTTTGGGGAGGCCTATGTCCAGCAGTAGACGTCTTTCGACACGAATTAAACTAATATATAAAAAAACCTTTTGTCTTCCGTTATAAATCATTATAAATAATTCATTTTATTTGCAGTACAATGAATTATATTCATCAATATGTCGAAAATCCGAGTTCAAACTAAGAATAATGAACAAATTACATATATGTATTTGGGGATCTCAATGAGAAGCGTGTTTACTCGTATTCGTACCGAATATCTGTCATGCAATACAGTACAATAACTACACACAGTGCTTGCTAGATTTGCCACTTGTAATACCTAATCAACTTTCTGTATAAAGTGGATGATTTCGTTTTACTAAACGAATTTACTCATTTCAGCTAAAATTATTTTTTACTCTTTGTTACAATTAAATTTCATTTTAAATAAAATCATTTTTTGTTTTCAATCAAATGGGGATGACCTAGTCCTAGTTACTAACCAAGGACTATTTTTTACCAAACAATCCAAAGGTTTTCCTTTGGATTATTTGATAAAAAACCGAGTATAGATTTATATTTTCTATTACTCAGACAGGATGTTCCTTTTTAGAGTTCCGTAGTCCTAACAAGAAACTCTTAAAGAATTGCAATGTCCGTTAGTCCGTCCGTCACTCCGTCTGTAATTAACTGACATATTGAAATACTTTCTTTTCTTCTTTCATGTTTCTTTCTTCTTTCATGTTTCTCGTGGAAAGTGACGATGAAACCAAAGAAAGAAGGCACGCGCATAGATGTTCTCATGAAGTTGCTACATTTAGTGCTACAGTTATTTTTGTAGAACAGAGGATTTCTGAAATAAAAAAAGCGATTTAAAGTAAATTTTTATAATTTCAAATTATTTATTCCTCGTTTATTATATTACTTACAGTAATTATATTAGTAGTATATTAAAGTATAGTAGTAAGTAAGTAAGTAGTATAGTAAGTAGTATATTAAAAACACAGAGAAGAGTTAAAGTCCCTTTAAAAGAGCGGTTCAAACATAATTTTAAGCGTTTTTAAGAAGAACTTTTCCTGTGAAGAACCTTGTTTTCCTTCCACATATGAGATATCTCTTTATACAAATAACAAACCTCTTATATTACCTGCTTACGCCTAAAAAACTTCTGAAGTCGTATTATACAGTTGCTAGTTGGTGATGTACTCGTAGTTGTTATTTATATTTGATGGAGTGAGAGTTATGTTTTTTCCCTCCAAATATTATAGAATGGGTTATGATATTTGAGGAAAAAATATAACTTTACCTTATATATCCGTATCCCGGAAGGTTCATACATATGTTACACATGATGATCAAAAATACTTGTTGAAAAAACAACGTTTCTTGACGCGTTTCCTGTTCTGGTGTCCTGGTACAAATCGGGTGAATTATTTTTAAATGCTGTTTAGAGTCTCTTAATGCCCTTTATTGCATTGCGTACCACGTGCTATATAATACTTTTTTTTTTAAATAATAGGCATTAAAACCATTCGCAAACAATGTTGGTTTCGAAAAAGTTATATAATTCAAGTTTACGATGCACCGATCCGGGAGCGCAGTATATTTCACAGATAAACAATACCACCATTGCTTTTATTAGGCGATAAAAAACTTTGTGTAGCTGATTAAATGGTACAAGTTTTGTTAACACAGTGTATTCCAATGTTGGAATTGTCACACAGAGTATTAGGTTCGTGAATTATTACTTTCTGTATCTGTAATATCAAATGAGTGTCGGATGATTCCAATTAATCAATTGTATAACCCACAATAACTATTTTTATCTTTTACATATTACAAAAAACAATGGGTAATTTACAAAGCTATTCTGAACAATACAGTATTATTCCTTATTCAATTAAATTCGTTAGATACGTTATGCATTTAATGTAGACCAACATTGCATTTACAGCATATCATTAAAGTGAATGTCGAGAGATTTAAAATGCGGGGCAAAAGCAGCCGTCCCCGGGTCGGGCCGTACATCCGGCCCGAGTGGCAGCGCCGCCAGGAGCGGAGCGGGCAAAAGAATATTGCATATAAAAATGTATTATCTTAATAATTGTATAATTAATTACTCCATACTGACACCACAACAGTAGTATTAGTAGTATCTATAAAACGTTGGCAAAAAACGGCAAAAGTTGTTCCCTTTAATACAGCATAAGTTAGCCGCTCGTTTTTCAATCTATACAAGTACATGACTCACATCGATGTGAAATTGTGAACGCAACTATGCATGTGTTCAGCGCTCTTGACACAGTTGGGAGACGAGGTAAGTGCACACTCAGTGCTATGTTTAGTCGCAACGCATTCTACTGTGTAATTAAACCTGGTAAGCTACCGTAGAATTCTGCAAAGAAACACAATTCGTGTAACTTTATATTCTAAAATAAACACACGATGACATGCTCAAGTGAGAGTGTAAGTAAATAATCGATTGTTTCTTTATATTTATGAATTTGCCATAGTTTGCAAACGGTAATCTTTATACTTTTAAATACCTCGAACACACAATACGAGTACTTGTAGTGGACTGTACGGATGGCGTGGTGTTTTAGGCATTCGCCGCAGCGCTTCCTAGTGCACTTAGTATTGTGCTTATTGTGAGTGTGTGTAATCCACAAATTATTGTCAATGTCTGAGTCTGGGAGTTGTCCTTTATATTAACAACTATGTACTTGCCCTTAAAATGTGCCCCCAAGATTTTATGATGATCGGCTGAGTGTATAGGCCGTGAAAGCATAAAAGGGTGACGTATATCTAGAACCTTTTATATTAGTAGGAATAGATTAAGATACAGTATAATGTTCAGGAAATAAAAATACTTGTTTCAGAATCACCGAGCTGTTAACAATATCGATAAGAAACGGGCGGCTTGTACAACATTTGTATGGGGTCTCGATCAAAGTAGTCAAATTCGTACAGTTGTTGTCGACGTCTGTTGCAAACTTTCTCGTTGTTGCTTTGCTTGTGATAAATTTCTCGTTGGGCTATTCTTTTGTTCAAATTCATGTTGGAAAATCGGCAACGCTTTTGTTACTTTCTCGTAGATAAGTTTTACTCGACTTAAGCGAATAAATTACTGTAAAATATACATATTGTATTTATTATTTTGCAAAATTACCTATGGATTCGTCTATTAACATTCATTTTACCCATCTAAGGGTTGCCTGTAAGAAATTGCTTTTTGGCGATAAGGCTGTCATTTGTACAATATCTTTATTAATTTGATGAATTCCTGGTTGGTGTACAATAAAACCTATTCTATTCTATTCCATAACTATGTTTAACCTAATACAAGATTTATTATACCATTTATACTACTGTACTATCTCTACTGTACTATCTGTATACCATTCACTAGAATTAGATTTATAATCTCTACTAACAAGCTGAGTGTTAGATTTAAGAATAAAGATTGCTGATAATAGCTTCGAAGCTGCCAATACTTTCCGGAAAGTTTTCAAAGTTGCCAGTTACGAGTATATTGTCCGAAAACGTTTAAACAAATAACTGGGTTTCTTGTTGTTGATTCCTTCGTAAGGTGAAATGATGTTTGAGATTGTAAGTTTAAATGTTTGTTTATAATTTCTTCATCATTGTTATAACCATCATTGTTGGATTTCATTCAATTGTATAATTATTTCTGTATTAGACATGTTATGCTGTTGGAAAATTAGATACTAGACTGAGAGTCATAACGAATTTACATACCTATTGAAAAAAAAGAGACTATCTGTTCCCTACTATTATGTGTCTATATTTGCATATTAAATTAGATCCATGTCTATGGTTCCGTACGCAGGAACGAATTTTTATAGGATTATTTGTGCGTCTGTCTATTCTTGCGTTACAGCCAATTTGCTCTGACTCTACTGGACAGATTAAATTGAGATTCTAAACAAATTTAAACTACTGTAAACAAACACATTTGTCCCAAGTAGGTAAATAAATATAGAATATAGAAATAGGGCTTAAATTTGTAAGCCACATTAGAAAAGAAATAAAAAAGAAATGCAGACTGTATTGTGTTACGAATGATAGATATTTGAAAACAGAAAATAGACTATTTTCTCCCCCTTATCTCAATAGTACTGATTCTAAAATTAAAATAAATACTTTAAGGTAATAGGAAAACCTTTAAGATTTCTGTGGCCCTAAAACACTATTTACAATTGAAACGTATGGAAGATTGTTCTCTAAAATTGTCATGTTGAGTTTGTTCTTAAGATACATTTTTAAAAGAACCGTAGTTACTGTGATAAACTTAGATACATAACCTTCTATGTTATAATTAATACATAGCATTAAGTAAACACGGACACAGCGCTCCATACGTTGGCAGAATGCCCGGGGAGCAGAGGTGTTGCCTCGAGGCGGCCATCGGGGTGGGAGCTCGTGGAACTCCGCCGTCTCTTTCTGCGAGCAAGTCATGCTTGTTAAGGAGATGGCGGAGCGAGACCGGGAGAGGTTTAGAACTCTCCCGGAGCGCCAGGCCCGGCAACATTGCAGGTACCGCAGACGACTCAGGCGCCGGATCTCGCAGAATGACCTCCGTCGTCGATAAGCGCAGGCCCGGGGGTGGTAGGTGAGGCCATCTGTCACCCTAGTAGAAGCAGGCCGAGGTGATGGCGAGACGCGCTTCGAAGCGCGCGCGCCCTTTCTGGAGCACAAAGGGGACATAGGGGTTCCCACACAGGGCTGGGTCATTTACGCCCGTAGATGGCCCGAGGTACGTCGGGGTATCAGGGTTTTCCTTCCTAGGGTACACCTGGTACCCGAGACGGCGTGCGGTTTTTGGTCGGTTTGAGTCCGACATAAACACCGGTGGGTAGTATCCGAAGGGATTTCCGCACAAAAAAAAAAGTAATACTAGCAATGGACATTTGTCCGAAATGAATGATTATTATTAATATTCTGTGTATAAATCCCTGGTAAATCCAGCCATGTAAAACAATCATATTGTTAATAAATGCATTTCTATTGTTTAAAAACACGGTTCTTTATCTTCAAGTAAAATGACAGTGAAATGTCTACATATGCATATTAGATGAAACAAAAAAAGATGGGAAATTAAATCAAGACGTTACTAGACAAATTATAGTTATCAAAAAGCTTTATATAAATTATAATGTTCATATCTAAGAAAATAAATACAAAGACGAATAAAACAACGACCAAAAAACTAGGAACAAATGAAGTAAGAAAAACTGCAAGAATTCAAAGGTTCGGGACTCGGATAAGAAATGACAAGAAAAAAATGTAGGAATGAAAAATAGTCTGAGTTTGCAAAAGCGAGGACATGACAAGGACGGTGAATTATATTATTTTACCTTTGTTTTGCGTTATCTTTACTTCCCTTGGAAATCACTATAAAGTTGAGTTTTCCGCAAGTTCTTAGCGTAAATACTGAAAGAATATTATTACAAAGTTTAATCCAGATTGAATGAATTTGCATTAACCGAAACAATAAGCGTTTCTATTATTTTAAACTGTCTCAGCCCCGACCGGGTCGGTCATAATTTATCATCAACATCTTTTGACAAACTCGAAATATTTCAGTATCTTTTGTCCCTGTAAAATAAACCATAATAACAGGTACGGTACAAATCAGCTAAGCGCGGGAAATGTTACCAATTCCAAGGGGGAAATTCCGGTGGGAAAATATCTTTGAAATAAATGTGAATAAATAGGGCTTGCGAGATTAAACGCGGACCGTTTGATATATGGTAGTCGTCGCTGGCACCCATGGGTGCCGGGTCACGAGTTACTGGGCAACAGATAAAAATAAACTAAGATTCCTAAATAAATTTACAATCGGTGCGTTGCGTACTCAATTGCTGTCGAACGCAAACATTTTATTACAAGGCTTCGTGGATTGTCACTGTTTTGCAAAACAATGAACAAACAAATGTTTGTTTTTATTAGACTTTACATTTATTTAATGTAACAATGAGCATAAAATATGTTAGTAAATCGTATGTTGTTTTTTTGTAGAAAATAGATAGAGAAATATCAGCTGCTGCCTTTGCAGCTTGATTATGATTATGATTGTAGGGCCTTTATAGAACTAGAAGAATCCTCCTGTATACGCTTCTGTTATAAAGTCCCTAAATGGTCGCACATCTCCCCAATTATAAATGAAAAGAGACAACTTAATATGCAATCACGACGTCACCAACATTTGTTATGTTTCACACATAAGATAATCACAAGCAAATGTCCACTATACCTATACGATAAGTTATCTTGGTGTGCGGACGCGCACAACTTGAATACTAGGTCTCAGGTAATTTTAAAACTTATCATACCGAAACATAGAACACAGGGTTATAAAGGCAGTTTCAAATACGCTGCATCAAAGATTTGGAACAATATACCACCTCCTTTTCGATCTATAAAGAACACAGTCAGCTTTAAAAATAAATGTAAACAATTTATAAGTGAAATTCAAAAACATAATACTCGACTACTTTAGATATACATTGATTAAATTATAATATTATGTATTGTACAAAATTATGTATTAAGATGTACTTAATTAATTTACACTCCTTATAACATCTATGTAATAAATGCCCTTTCCCCACTGCCCATACTCATTGTGCTTAAACTAATATACATTATTTGTATTTTTAACACCTCCGGTAATGTGTGATCACGAAGAAATTATCTAAATGTTTTATCAGTAAGTTATTTATATGTTTTTTGTAAACGGGAGTCAAAGGTTTAAGCTGAAAACCAGCGCTTGGTAATCCATGTGAAGTCCAAGCATAAGCTGACGCTTAGACCTTTTGCTTTCGGTATTATAGTTTTTCTGTATATTTCTACAAAATTGCTGTAATGCTGAAATCAATAAACTGGTATTCTATTCTATTCTAAAAAAGAAGAAAAGTCTAGAAGTTTCAATCAGTTTTTGTTGAATAACAATAGATTACTTTTCCATAGCAACTAATTTTTTGCACTCTTAAATCATTCTTGCGTTTTTTTTGCAAACTGTTCTACGAGTAGATTGTGTTATTATCTTAAACAATTAGTTGACCTGCCTAGTAGTATACCTACGTTTGAAAGTTTGTAGTGCTTCAGCTTTTTAAATTCTTGTCCTCTATTCCTAATGTATGTATGTTATATAAGTAGCTATAGTTTTCGCCTTGATCAGGACTTACGGAAGTTTGAGTCCACTGGATCTAGACGGACTGACAGAGAAATCGAGCAGCCACTAATAAGACTTAATCATTGAGAGAGAGATTGAAGGTTTGTAGATATTATGGTATGAAGAAATTACTATTTATCTTTAATATCATATGGAGAATAGATAATCTCTAATCTAATAGAGATCTAATGGCGGTCTGACTACTTAAATGGCTTGACCGATGCGATTATTGATGGAAATACCCGCTAGGCGGTGCAGTGCTACGCTCGTCTAAATATGTACATAAGGAGACGTGTACAAGTGGTCTTAGGTATGACAAAAATATACTTCATATTTGATTACTTCATTATTTTGCATTTCATTAGTATACTCTAGATTTTCTTGAATAAAATTATGTAAGACGTTTTTACCTTCAAAGACTTGTCTCGGTAAACACTCAAAGTGTTATAAAGCTTTTTATTATTTTGACATGTTGGCGAGCTTTTCGGTACGTTCTTGTGGAGAAAAAAGTAAAAACAAAACCGTAATTAAAATAGAAGTTAATCATTTCCCCGTAATAGAATAATGTACTTTGAAGTCTACAGTGGAATATTTTGTTCGCGATTAAGTAGAATTTTAAGTGCAAAGTTGGGCTAAAGTACTAATGGAAAAGTTCCGAATAGAGTGGGTGGAAGAAGGGAATACGCTCGTTCAAGTTGCGATGAAATTGTTGTGGAATGTCAAATACATTTAAATTAATCTTATGTCGGGACAATAGGCCGTAGGATATACCTATGTCTATTGGCAATATTGGCATAAATAATTTTAGTGGTGATTAGTGTGTTAACGAGAGTATGTATTGCGTGTTTTAGGTTTTAAAGAAAACAGGACCGTCTTTTCACTATATTTTTAATATGC